CGTATACCCTATCCTAGACACTCAAATACGCAAAAACTCGAAACTCAAAATCTAAAAAATTACATCACATTCTGTCCTGCCCTCTGACCATCGGTCGGAGACGCCCATAGGTGTGCGTTATTCGTAATTATCCATTTGAACCCTGACATTGCGGCACTAGGAACATTTAAATTTACTACTACTCAACAAAAGACTCATGGTAATTTTGTAAATATTATTTTAAGCTTTAGTACTATCTCCTATGTACATTATTTCTATAGTATGCATTCGTATTTCGATAACAAAATTAAGCTAAGTACATTTATGATCATTCAAAGTAATAAGAATTCTATAATAAACATAAACATTTCAATGTAATTTTAAAAATTCAAGTATTCGCTTATAATCTTGAAAAGGAAGTTACATAAATATTTATGTTCGGATTTCAGCGATAACCAAACCGATACTAAATTAATAAAGAATTCCGATACTAGAGTTCCAAGAATCTTAGATAAGATACTGTAATGTTAAGAACCGTATTATAATCTTCAATATTGTTTTATTGATTAATCTGGCATTAATTACAAAAAGACGGCTTAACTCACGTTAACAATTCTGTATAGTTACGTGTTATTGTAATTAATATTATGTATTATAATGTCTCACGAAAGCTTTAATAAGTTAATCTTTTAATTGTTAATTCACTTATCACAGAAAAAGCTGTACAACCAAAACAAAAGATAGATACTAGTTTTTTTTTACATAATATAAGGTGGTAAACGACCAAACGGCCACCCGAATGGATAGCGACCGCTGGCCATAAACATCTGCAACTGCAGATGCGTTGCCTACACTTAATAGACATAGGAGGAGAGGCACACAACGAGGACATTTACCCTTCCTATGCGTCTCCTCTACCGTCAAATACATACCGTCTTTTCCTTCTCATCCTTTCCTCTTAAGAAAAGAGGGAAAGGGACTAAAATTAGGCCTCCAATACTAGTTAAATACATGTTTAAACTCTGATGATAGGGACGTAATTGTGTTTTGTAATTGTTCTTAGTAAATCCCAATATCTTTAATGCTAATTATCTTATGCTTATCTCTTATTGTCGTTTAAAACCTGAGATAGAAAATATTATGTTTTTGTATAATGTCGGCAGTGTGAACACAGCGACACAACATTACGATCTCAGAATAATATAAATCCTTGGTTCCACGAAGGCTGTCTGCGAGTATTGACCTTGGCATGAATGGAACGGATGTGGGTCTTCTTTATTTAAATTTATCTCAAGTACTATGTTAACAAATAGTACACTTCCCGAAAAAATGTGTTAAATATGAAAAGTTTTTTTATCGAATACAGGAAGAACAATTGAATAACATCTAATTCGTCCTCCAACTGCGGTGTGCATCCGTCTGTAAAGCTCAATAATTGAATTACAATTGTTACTAAGGTCACTTAAATTTTTTGTTACATTACGTAATAACAGATAGAAGAAATCAAAGTAAAGATATATCTATAATGTTTACAAGCACATCTATCATCCACTCCACTTCGTCTGCGCGAATAATTAAAAAAAACGCAGTAGCCTACGTGTCGAGCAATGTTTAACGCAGTAAAAACTTGCGGATATTTATTAGTAGGCGTTTCATAAAAAATTATAGGAATATCACTATTTACATAACCAGCTCCTCCTGTATAAATAATGATAACAAAACACCTGTCAGTTGAGCAAATAATTCGATTATTGTTAAGTTTGTATCGGTCGAGATACCATTTCGCGGTAGTGCGTGATATTAACTAGTAGTAAACAATGCGTATTCATCATGACCAGGTTACTTACGTCCCCACTGAGGGGCTCGGAGCCTACCCTAAATCAGGATGACTAGGCCTTAGTCAACCACGCTGGCCCACTGCGGGTTGGTTGACTTCACACATATCTTTGAATTTCTTCGCCGATATGTGCAGGTTGCATCACGATGTTTTTCTTCACCGTAAGAACTTTGGGTAAATTATGTACATAAGAATATTCGAAAAATCGAACGGGATTCGAACCCAATACCAGTTGATTACAAGTCAAGTGCTTAAACCACTGAGCCACCGACGCTACAATGCGTATTACTAGGCGAGAAATACAAACATTGTATTTTTTTTAAATAACTAATTTTTACTTTCTATACCAAGGCTAGGATCCCATTTAATGTAAAGGAGATATGCCCAAAAGGAACACACGACGACTTAGTATATTCCACTAGCTGTTCCCATGCGACTTCATCCGCATGAAATTATAAATAATCATTTTATTGTTCACATTTCTCAAATTATCAATTGCAAATGTCAAATTGACATGACAAGTTGTCAAATCATGGCAAACTTGCTACCTTGATGTTGGCAGCAACTTATGGTCTCTTTCCCACATTAGGGTTTTTATCTAAAATATTTACCCCTAAGTTTAACGGCGTGAAAATATATAGCCTAAAGCGTGACGTAGATGTAGAGTTTTTTGTTAAAAAAGAGTAATTCGAAAATATACAGTAATTGCTGACATCTTAGGCAACAAAGAAGTGTGTGTTTAGGCTTTATTATTAGAGTATAGATTCACCCTACTTCAAAGCAATTACTAATATACTGTCTTTATTATTTTGAATAGTCATCATAACTTTGATATCTTATTTCTACACAAGGTGTCAACAAAAAAAAATGACTAACTATATCACGAAACTGTAGAAACTCGATAAAACATTATCTCTTTTAAATACCGGAAATGATACAAATTATTCCTTTTATAAAAAAAAAATCAATTTAAAATATAATTTAACAGTGGTAGGGCCCGCTTTAACATCTTCTCACGAATGGACCGGCTCGCCCGGTGAAATACCACGACCACACAGAAAACAGGCGTGAAGTGGAAGCAATTCCGCGTTTCGTCTGATGAGTGTGGTGCCGGAGGCCTAATTTTTGTCCCTTTTCCTTTCCACCTTTTTCTTGAGAGCAAAGGATGGGAAGGAAAAGTGGATTTGACGGTGGAGGAGATGCATAGGAAGGGGAAATATCCTCTTTATGAGCGTCTCCTCCTCCTTCAAGGGTAGGCAACGCATCTGTAATTGCGGATGTTTATGGGCAGCCGTCGCTTTCCATTTCGGTGGATTTGGGTGGCCGCTTACTCGTTTGCCACCTTATATTATAAAAAAAAATTACTAAATGATGTAATGATTGTTGAAAACTTAAAACATTAGTTGCCTATCATTGTAAATAGACATTTTCGTTCATCCATTTTGTTTCATTTTCTTTATTGAGTCAAGACATAAGAACAGTTAATATAAGAAACAACGTTAAAGAAGTAAGGTTGTAAATGTAAGCTTCCTAAAATATTCTCACAAGCGGAAAATTATAATATATCTTGGTATGTAAGAAGGCGTGAAGTGGAAGTAATTCCGCGTTTCGTCTGATGAGTGTGGTGCCGGAGGAGCAAATTTATAAAGCATGTAATCAACTATACCTACACCAACATCAACGTATATTGAAAAAAAAATTTTTTTTTCATTTTTCAGTGTATACTCAATATTTATTTTACCTTCCCGAATAGTACAATAGTGAAAATGTGTAAACATTACATATTTCGAACCAACATAAAAAAACTTTGAACTTATAACATTTAAAAGCTATACATATACAAAGATGAGATAACACTGTCGATCAATAAGTATTCTCCGAATGTTACAATCTATCCGATATTCTTACCTACATATAGTATAATATCAAAAGTTATCTAAAACTACATACGTATGCTACGAGGCATACGGCCGATTAGTCTTCTGCGAAGCGGGTTACCGGTTGCGAAACTGTTGCGACAGAAAAAAATTAACGCTTCCACAATACGCTTATTTAGGTATGTTGGTACATATTTTTAAATTTTACTTTTCTCGCTATGAAGAGTAATATAATAATAGCTTTACGAATTAAAAAAAAATAGTTCTATACTGGCTGGTTAAATCAGAGATTTTATTTTTATTTTATAAATAAAAAACAACGCCATCTAGTCACAAAATGAAAGAACAGAAGCATTAAATAAATTAGGAGCTTTTCTTGTACTTTTTCTTGTTTTGAACCTACTAACTTGCATTATAATTTACTAGCTGTTACTCGCAACTTCTCTAACTTGAATTAAAAATTTCAGTTGACATGCATTTTTTTTATTTTTGTATAGTTGGTTACCTAATCTTCAATTGGTCTTCCGATTTTTATGTAAATCATCTCTGTATATATATTTTTACAGCAATATGGAATCTATACCAGTAGGACCCGTACCCGTGCAGAGGAAGTGTCCTTGTTGCGGTAACTCAATCGTTTCAAGAATCGAACACAAACCCTCGGCTAAAACACATTTGATCGCTGTGATCCTTTTCGTATCATTGTAAGTATTGACAATGATGTCCTAAACAATCTTACTAATGTTATAAATGCGAAAGTTTAGATGTATGGGTGGATGTTTGTTAGAGTTTGTCGCCTAAACTGCTGAACGAATCTCGATGAAATTTGGCATAGATATAGAGGATAGTCTGGAAGAACATAAAGGATACTTATTTTTAAAATTAAACGCGGACGGAGTTGCATGCGAAAGCTACTATTATGTTAAAAAAAATACAGATACATGAATAGATTTTGTATACGAATTATTAGCCAATTAAAAAGTGACATTCCGTGAGGTTGAAATGTCTTGGAAAACTCATATTAACTTATTTCTTTACTTGTTAACGTCTAGTAAAGCTATAGATAATTGTAAGAAAAAGTGTAATCTCTCAAACGATGGATTATTTTGTGTTTTAAGTGTCGAATTTGTTTGCTTTTATTAAAGAATTTGAAGCTTTTGACGCTTAAGATTTTTTTCCAGATGCTTGCCGTGTGTATTCCTGCCTTATTGCACAGATACATGCAAGAACGTTGATCATTACTGTCCCAATTGCAACGGTTACCTTGGGACTTATAAGCATTGATAATTCACGTTGTTATTTAAATAACATTAGTAGTTAGGTCTTTTAATATAAAGGTTACAAGTTACAACAAGATCAATAGGTTTTTGACATTTTATTGTAATTTATAAAAGTGTTTAACAAATCTACAGTCTTATATGTAACCGTTCACAATTTATCTTAATGGGTTTATATTGTAAATCAAGTTATCAAGGTAATTCCTTCTAACATCTAATAAAGTTTATTAAAAATGTTTATTTTTGTTTGATTTTGTATTTGAATTAATAAATTTAGTTAAATAGACATAAATGATTTGTAATTTTACCATCAAATTTTTTCCCTTAATTTTTTGCACGTTCAAAAGTTGCGGATATTTTTTCGTAGGCGCAAAATCTTTGAATAAAAAATTTTTCATTTAAAAAACCTTTGTACTACTCAAATGTTACTTTTTGGAAAGAAAATTTTAAGAAAGAAACAAATGCCTTATATGCATTTAATTTATAACATTACACAATATCTCTCACATCATTTTAAATGAATTAATTAAATGTAACTTTAGGCATAAAATATGTTTTAAGTTCTGCGTTAAATAACGGCAAAAGTATATTAATTTAACCTTAAAATACACCAAATAAATATTCATAATTCCGAACCACTGTTACATTACATGGTTTTTGAGCCGGGTTTCTTTCAGCCTGTGTATGATCCAATATAAGCGCCACAGTTGGTACAATAGTGATCGGCATTGTTACAGGAATCCATGCAATACGGCAAACAAGCAAACGGCCAACATCTGAAAATAAAATACTAATGAATGATGATTGATAACTGATGAACGACGAATGTAAAACGAAGAATTATATTATTATAATACAATATTAAGCATTAATAGGACAAGTTGTATTACCCGATAAAACACAGAAACAATGCCACCAAGTGAGTCCTTAGCGATGCGTTACGTTCAACGCGAGTAACAATCTGATGGCTGCAGGATTTACATACATAGGCCGTTGAGTTGGGTCCCATTCGATGTCCCACCACGACGGTAGGCACAACAGTCGGTATCACAGGCTGCACGTGTACCAGATTTGGCCCTTGTACCACATGAGGGTACTGTGACCCAGGGTTCTGTAGCCCGGGGTACTGTGGTCCAGGGTTCTGTGGCCCGGGGTACTGTGGTCCAGGGTTCTGTGACCCAGGGTATTGTGCATTGTTCTGTGGGGCAGGGTACGTTGGTCCCGGGTTTGGTGGCTCAGGGTTCGGAAGCCCAGGGTATGGCGGGGGGGCGGTCGGATGTTGAAAAGTATCCGTCCCATTATACACACTAGTCTCGTTCTTAGCTGGAATTTATTTTAAATTATAATATTATGTGAAGTTGTGAGCATATTGTTATTGTAGCAATGGAAAAAAATACAATGTACACATCCTTGACATTTTGAATAGCAAAATATTAAATCAACAACTATATGCTATTATCATTTTATTAAAAGTGAAACAACGCCTAAGAGTGTTTTTCTTATGTTATACATGTTTAGCGAATGAGTTTTAATCTAAGTCGAATGCAATGTCGAAGACATTAATAAAATACAAAACTAGTCAACAATATCAATTAAATATTGTCACTAAACAACGCAATATCAGAGTCAGCTGACATTTAACAAATTCCACGTAAACAAAACACTAAAGCATAGCCCTGACAAACAGTATTCTCACAATACTCAGTACTATTAAACCATTTTACTTACATACACTATTCGATTGCATTATAACATTTGCCAAAAACAACTAAGGATTCCTAGAAAAACGTAATTCACAATTAAACACACTCACAAATTCAGTCAGTCGATAAAATTGTTTCTGAACTAACACTGGCCAGAGATTACTGATACGGTGATAAGATAATCAGCACTACATATCAGCTTCTTATAATACATATATGTCTATCTCGCTCTGTTATTTAAAAATAATATAGTTGTCTCAAATATATTGTTATGACGCAGTGACTACTACTAGACATCTGTAACAATAAAAATAGGAACAATTTCCAACGGATTTATTTATAGTATCTCATCTACGCTTTGCTATATCTCGCTTGTGACCGAGACCGAGACCGCGACCGACCGACCGACCGATTCTGTAATCTGTATTAATTAATTTGTTTTCTAGTCATATTTATAGTTTACGTGTACAGTGGTACTTTTTTGTCATTATAATTGTCTATTAAAAAACGAATTCTCTAAATAAAATACCATGAGTCCATCAAAACTTTCTACCATTTTTTCTGATTGATCACGCCCTTTTTTTTGGTGAAAGGATAGCAACTAAATCATTGTTGTTTACAAGTACTCGTTAAAAAGAACAGATTTAATTAATTCTAATCTACAGTTAATTATATATACGTGTAAATACAAATGGTATCAACTAATACAAAAATCGATAAACAGCTTATGAGAAATTTGATTAGGAACATTTTCAAGAAAATATCTAATCGTGGTGTTATTTCTTTGAATTTAATTCACTATCTCAAGTATCCTTTTTCCGGAATAGTTAAGTAGTTTGTTTATCGGTTACGATTATTTGTATAGATTTCAATTCGAAACTAACATCCGAAAAAAACACATTCCGTTAAGGTCGTTACAAATAAAACAAATTAATTTAAAGTAATAATTTATTATTTACAAAAATGATAAATTACAATAAAAAATAACGATAATTTTTCAAGGGAAATCCCAGATATCACTTGAAAACGGTAAATGAGCGACAACTTATGTATAAAATACTGGAAGAAAAATATGTGAAATTATAAAACTGGCCATAATTATTCACTTCAATATGTTATACTCATAAGTACAAGTTACAAATTACACAATTTACTAAGAGTTACCTAATAAGCACTTATTTTCTAAACAAACAAAATAAGAACCATTCATCTCAGTGCTTGAAGTCGCGGGCGCGGACACGGTTGCCATCGATAAAATCAGACCGGTTAAACTAACTTTAAATTGCGAGTAAATTAGCTCCATCGTTAGTTAATTGTAAACCATAAACTTATGTATGAAAATCGCGTTCCCTACTCCGATATAATAATAATTTTCAGTTTCCTACAAGCATCTGAATTTACCATGAAAATAAATTATACAGTTTCAACTATCGAATAACTTGTATATAATCACATTACCATCCTTTGTATGTATTCTTAGATTCTTAAACAATCAATAGTTACGTATTGCTCAAACGTGCATAGTAACAGTCACGTTACTAAACCGCGTTAAACATCACTTAAAACATCGTCTATCTGTATTAAGTTATATCAAACCTAACCAAATAGTAATCCCAAATCGTTAGCCTAAGTAAGATCCGAGGTAGGAGTTGCAATTGGGACAGTAATGGTCAGCATTGTTACATGAATCCACGCAGTAAGGTAAACATACGAGTGGCCAGCATCTGCAAATAAAAATAATAATTAACTTTAGATCCGCTTGTAAGAAGACATTACCAGACAACATGTCATGTCTTTATTGAACAAAAAAAAAACATTTGAAAAAAGGAGGAAATAACCGATCATACTACCTACGTATGTCCTTTTGTAATTCTAATAAATATGTACAACTAAAATCAAAATACAGCATGGAATTCTAATTTAGATAATTTAAGATGACATTTAAAAATATATTGCAATCATTTGCAACAGTTATTTATAATTTTTACACTCAAAACAGAGAACGCCAGAAACTTACCCAACAACACACAATAACAAGGCAAATAGATGTGTCCTAAGTGATGGCTTCCTTTCAACCCTCGTTATTATTTGATTGTTGCATGATTTGCATATATAAAGCGATGGTGATGCGCCCATTTGGTTCCCTATCACCATGGTGGTGGTGACTCCTGGTACTACAGTGGCACCAGGATATGCCACCGCGGTTCCTACTATCACTGGTTGAGGAATTACTTGTGGTGCCGGGTTTTGTGGAGGGTCGGAGTATGGAGGCGGTGCACCTCTCTCTTTCACTGAAAAGGCGTTAAAAACATCATTATCCTGTTTTTTTTTCCTCCAGAGGGCCGATAGAATACGTTACGAGTTGATTACATTTAATTAAAAAAATTAAAAATAAACACCTAATCTACTTTTTTATAAAGATATCTCGATATAATTAAAAAAATCAGTTTATCGAAGTTGTAGATAAACATAAAAATAACAAAATATAAAATAAAAAACTTCAAAATTGATAAATTGATTTCGACATTGTCATACTTTGTATACAAATATGTCAGTTTGAAGTCCAGTTGACGTGTGCATTTTGTAACATGACAATTAGTAATTTACTCTGTGGCATTATATGTAGATGTAAAAACGCACACGACTTTTTTTTTAACGTTTTTTTTTCATTAACTATTTATACTTTAATGGCTCACAGAAATCTATGGAAGAGCACATTCTGTGGCGACCCTCCATAAGTACGAGGGGAAGTTGATGATGGTATATTTAAACGGAAGTACATAGTTTAATTCTTAGTCATTTTTATCCTCAAGTGTTTGTCATTCGTATCTTTGCACTTAAGATATGCAATATCGTCACATCCAATCTCAGAGTTTGTAGGAGATACGAATTGCTTGAATAAAACAAAGACAAAACAATAGTTTTCATCATTCACAACTAAACATAGAACAAACTTAATATGATCATTACCCTATTTTACGATTTGTGGGGACATTTTGTACTCTCCCATATCTATTAGCTGTACCATATATCTAAATTCACTCTCTTCATACGCATTTTTCACACAATCAATCCTTACTTTCCTCGTTCTTTCTCTACCATTGTAGTAATTCTCATTCTTTCACATAACATTTTTACTTTTCCTTTTAAAAATAATTACGTAAATATACTTACTTTCAGTTTCAGATTGCATTTTGTTAAAATTTCCTCACTTAAATCACTATTAAAAAATTATAGTGTATACACAACACGGTTTTTTGGTAATAAGACCAAAACTGATAAAAACTCAACGCAAAGGTTGAATATATTGAAAACGTACAATGTTCAATATCTTATCAGAAATATCTATTTGCCAAATGCCTTATCAATTTTTGCGATTCGCCGCAAAGTTACATTATTGAAATATTTCTACTCATGGTATTATTCAAGGAAAAGGTAAACTTTGTTTAAGTAAAGTATTAATTAATAAAACGGTGAAAAGAAGTCGGAGAAAATCAGTAGCACCAGTAACAGACAAATTAATCTTCACTCTCACTCTCAGGCGCTAGCTTAAAAACTTGAAAAAAAAGGTTAGCATGGTAAGCATGTTAAGATGGAAAAAAGAGGCGCATATGATAAGAAAAACTTAAATTATGAATGCAGAGGAATATAATGGTAGAGGTAAGTCTAGAAAGAGATTGATGGACTTTGTACAAGATGACATCAAGAAGAAAGTAGCTACTGAGATGACGGAGTATAGCTCGATAGAAAGGACATAAACCTGATGCGTCGACATTACGTGGGATACGGACTGGAAGATGATGACAAAAAGAAGTTAACTATAAAACTAACAAACAAATAAGATATTATCAATGCCCCAATGACGTATGCGTAGCGTCCTTTGATAAATTCCGATAGTCCAATGACTCACATTGCTATGACTCATTTTTTATCGTGTAAACACAAATAACACTTTGTGACATAGGACATTGAACAAACAAGATTTAAATTAATACAAGGAACTCACCGACAATGCTTACGTCACTACAGGAGGTCAAGGAAACGAAAAACCAAACACTCTTGTATTATAATAGACTAAGAATAAAAATAACTAGTGACTAAAAAGTTAACCCTTCAATGTATTTTACATCATCCTAGATAAAGCGTATGAATAGACTCCCAATTTGTATGAAAACAAGGGCCGACATCAGCCAGATAAGTTAATCTTGATGGAAAAGCTATTTAACTAATGGATGTATAGTGAGGAGCAATGCAAGCCGCTTGCAACCTCCATCCATCACTTACCAAGCGAAAAGTTAAATTAAAAGTTTGGTGCTACGTTATACTTAACGTCAGATTATTCTTCGTTAGAATAACATCGATGTTTCTACTGTTCGATGAAAATATTCTTACTTAAAATGTATTTTATCGGTATTTAATTCTAAAGTATAACAGTTAACGTTATCACAGTGTATTTGTTCCTCTTTTTGAAATTTTTAAGCTGCAATTTAGATCATAATTCAAAGGCTTTGGACTAAATTATCAAAGTTACTATCTTCAGCCCGCGACTCCGTTCGCGTGAAATTAAAAAGAGTAAGTTGCCTTTATGTTCTTCCAGACTATCCTCTACATCTATACCAACTTATTGAGTTCTGTTAAGCTGTTTAGACTACAAACACTGACAAACATCCATCCATCTAAACAATCGCATCTATAATATTAGTAAGAAGTAAGATTACAAGCATATTATTTTAGTACTAGCCTTAGCCTTTAGTTACTTTTGTATGTTTAAAGAAACATAAGTAATTAGCCTGTGTGTCCTTCCTGACTATCTGTTTCATCTATGCCAAATTTCATCGAGATCCGTTCTGCAGTTTAAGCAACAAACTTGAAACCATCTAAACTTTCGCTTATATAATATTACAAAGATCGATAGGCACATTTCTAATTGGACAATTTTTTAAAAGAGAACCACTTAATTAGTTAGGTAACAGTGATATCGAAACGTTACATTATTTGCATAATGTATTCAAATTCAAACTATGTATCCGCAATCTATTTAGTTAATTGCAGAGAGGTTGACTAAATTAAATTGGGGTAGGCAAACACATCCGGCTCTTTTCCGAAGCGACACGTACGTGGTCCGCATAACAAATGCCCCGATGGGATGCGTATTCTGTAAAACTGATGTCACGATTCATTTCCACAAGCAATATGCTAAATTTAAACCAGGGTTTAATTCTAATCTTTCATTATTTTGTATTCAAAATTTTAATCCATATTTATTACGGTATCAAAGCGTTATGTTTGATGAAAGAAAATAATAACCGTTGCAAAATTACACAGAGTTTTAAAAGCTGAAACGTTAAAATATACTGATTCTTATCAGAAAGAAAGCATACAAAAATATTAACCACTAGCTGTTACTCGCGAATTCGCCCAGGGGAAACTTAGCCTATGTTACTCAGTGATGACATAGATTTTTAATGGTGCAAGAATATTTGAAATAGGTCCAGTAGTTGATGAATTAATCCCATAAATACAAAAAAAAATCATAATAAGTAATAGAGCTATTGTTCAATATGATAAGGAGGTCGTTGAATCAATGTATTGAAATCAGATCTGGTGTTTGAGTGTCACAAGAGGCTCACCAGTTGCACAAAAGCCTTTATACGTCGAGCTTTGAGCAAGCAGTCGACTGATTAGAGCATCGCTTCGTATGGTTTGACGTCTTTGTATTATTCCAATTGTGAAGCTAATTGTCATTGTTGAATTGGTTTCCATTGATTATAACATTAATGTTAGGTTAATTAAATATTAGAAATTAAAGAGAAGGGAAATTAAGATTATTTTATTAATTTAATATGTCAATACTAGCTTACGCCAGCGACTCCGTCCGCGTTGAATTAAATAAACACAAAAGTGAATAGTCTATGTGTTCTTCCAGATTATCCTCCACATCTATGCCAAATTTCATCAACATCCGTTTAGCCGTTTAGGCAACAAACGCTAACAAACATCCATCCATCCATTTCTAAACATTCGCATTTATAATATTAGTATGAAGTATGATTATCAGTTATGGTAAAATTATAATATGGTTCTATTATACGAGTACAGCGTATATCTTAGTTATATTTTTAAATTAATGAATACAAAAAGGAAGGGAAAACGTAATGAAAATCGCCAGTGACAAGCCACATAGGGGGAAAGTGTACACACTCGAAATGACCGCGTACACTCGAATGTTGGCTAACTTTATTATTGCTTGTTCTCATGAGGGAAACTGGTGAATAATAATGAACTTTGGGAAATCCCTAAGGAGTCGTATTTCAATGACGGCTATAAAAAGTCAAGTGAGTTTAGCCAGATTCAGATTGTTTGATATAGAGTCTTTTACGATAATTATTAGCTTTATTGGTATAAATAAAATCTTTGCAAGGCAATAACATTTTTCAATTATTTTTATCAGTATCTGACAAATCCATAACATAACTGATAGTGACAATGAGCTGAACAAATGTTGACGAAGCTACCAATGTATTTTTGTACAATAACAAACAATGGAAGTCGTCACTAAATTTTTCTAAATTCCAACACATTGTATGCTATCCAATCTTGTCAGATACCTTATTAGTCACATATGCAAATGTGGGTCCCCGAAGGCAAAGCCTTGGTAAATACGCAGGCCCCTAAGGAGTTAATGTTTTCAGCCATTAACTCGACCGAGCATTTATGAAATTCGTGCCCACGATCCGAACAAGATTACACGACGACGCTGTCATGTTTTCATTAACAGGGATGACGGAATTATAAATGTCCTCTATATATTTTTACACGATTATACTTCGTTGTTTCTACGAATGAGTACACAAACTATACGTCTACGGTAGAAAAAAATCTCATAATTACTGAGATTCATTTTCTTGTATTTCTACAAAAGCTGTTAATCAGATGCTTTAAACAAACAATTTGTTGGCAGATTTAGTACTCATAGAGTCCATTTTCTTCAATTAATGATTATAATTCATTGAATTTATAAATACATCATTAGTATTCCTCCCAGTTAAGTAGAAAATCTGTTGTAGAGAATCTGAAATTTAATATTGTTTTACTTCACCAAGTTTACTTTAGTTTAATTTTCAGTGTTGATTTATGTCGAAATATAACACCTAACTATTCTGACACCCCTATTTCCTCCCGCTCGTTACCTGGATGATAGCACCTCGGGCGTTCGTTGCGTCTTACACATCGGCTAGTTAATTCTGAACCTTGTTAATACATCGCATCTCCCTTATCACATCCAATTACACAAAGAACACGGGGGAAGGTGGAGGTCACGGAAAAGTGGGAAAATTGGCAGCAGGTAAACCGTATTTGCTAATGGAATACAGATGTGAAGATGAACATTCTGAGGTTTACCGAAATTCCGACGCGTTATTTCTCGTAACCTTAGACGTAGATGTTCATATATTCGTTACAAGTAAACAAGGAAACACGATTTTATACTCTGATTGACAATGTACTGTACTGTTAATGGATTACTGGAAAGAGATATGCTACTTCTAATTAGATCGTAATAAACAATGTTTTCCATAAATTTCATAGCAATGTTAACGTATTTGAAGCTTCATTTATCCACATCCCTTCAAAAGACAAACATTTACTTACTGAAAAAATATCTTAAACAATTAGAAAATCTATCAGAGTTTATTTATGAAACAAAATGTGTCATGTTTAAAGTACTATAAAATTTTAACAATATATAAACTAGAAAAGATTTAGCCGTTGCGTTCTTTCCAAGTCCCAGGACAAACACAATTCGAAACACAAATAGAGAAATGTTCACCAGAATTCGAGTCGTTTCGCTCGGAATAGTTCAAACGTTGAACGCAGCCGCGCTGGCGATGTGGCGCTAGTGGACTTTGGCACGGGGTACGCGGGGAGGGGAGATCGGAAGTGACGTTGCAGCCAGATAATAACCGTGGGCGGGCGGCGGCGCCCTAGTACAGTGCAGCTTCCGGGTCGCGCGACCCGCGAGCCACGGTAATCTTCGACGTACGTACGTAATTTCCCAAATTGAACAGTGAAATACATGAAACCGCTCTTACAATGTTGCTGTTTTTTATTTCAATTTAATTACTGTTTTTTTAAATATGCATTCTCAGCCTATTACCAAAAACATTTAAGGTCTAGAAATCGTTTATTTGGCTAAATAGTTTGCCTGAGGATTTAACCAACTGAAATAATTGTCCACTTTATTTACAGTCTAAATAGTTCCAACGCTATGCAAACAGAAGT